GATGAGCCGCTCCGGTTCGGACAGGACCTGCTCCACCTGCGTCAGGATGTTCCGGTCGAAAGCTCCGAAGCCCTGCAAGGTGGGGGGGGGGGGGGTAGAAGAGACTGTCGACACACGGAACATGCTAGCAAAACGTCCGGAAATGGACCGCGCCCCAGCTTGAGACTCATTAGAAGCAGATCGGCATGCGGGTTTCCGCAGACTTGCGGCCCGAGAGGCTCGGCCTCTGAGCCGGATTCATGGCAGACGCCCGTCCTGGAAGAACAGGGGTTAGGGGGCAGCAGACACCTAACAGAGGACAGGGCGCAGGCGCCGGAGATCGGTGCTGAAAGGCTACTGTTCGCGGGCCTGTACTTCCAGAGGGTGGAGCACAATCCCAGCTCCGGGAAATAAAGATCAAAGTCGAATTAGGCAGACACACTGGCTCGATGCAAATTTACACGGTCGCCCCCCCCCCCCCCCCCCCCCCAAAAAAAAAACGAAGGCACAACATCTCTAGTTCGTACCTGAAGACACGCCACTAACAAGTGTCCCCTATTACTCCTCCCCCATATCTCCTTCTCCTCCTCATCTGGGGGTGGGAGGGGGAGTTGGTGACCAAGATAAAGTTTTGACTGGCAGGACCATTTGTTTTAATCAGGTGTTTGCAGACACTTCCCTGACCTCCATTAGTTGAAGTTTTAATTTAAATTAACCCCCACTTCTACCCCAATTAACCCCCTCCCCTCTGCTTGCACAGGCAGAGCTCCAAGCATCTGCTCCGTGGACCGGGGCGGAACGCAAGCCGCAGCCGCACACACAGACACACACACCCAACAGAACCCTCCTCTGTGTTTGTGCTTCAAACCACATTAAGCCTTTTCACAATAACCATATTGATTCATAAGATGCACTATCGGTAGGGTCCGGATTAACGTGCGGTTCCGTTCGCATCCGGACCACTGGCCGCGCTCTGAGAACCCCTGAAACGGAGGGTCGATGTTACACCAGTGGTACGTTGCGCTATGGATCTGCCGCTTTGCGTTAAGATGCAGCACATTCGGTCAGGACAGCGTCACAAAGCTCAGCAGACGGCTGGATCTCACTCCTAAAGAAGTTACTGCCTAAAGCAAAACGAACCTTTTATACAGCCTGCGTCACGGACAGCCAATCGCACAGGGATATGGGGCCCACATTTTTTGCAAATATTGACAGTACTGTCAATATACATAGATACACATCTATGCACTTCCCCAGCCTTGAAGCATGATATTTTAATACTGATGTATTGACATAATATTAGATTTTATATCTGCACTGTATATTTTAGATAATATACTTTGTTCCTTACATAGTATTTATAAATTGTAATTTCTCTTTTTTACTCCGACTTTACTTCTTACATTTTTTCTCTCCTATTTTTACACAGCCACATAAGAGATACATTTCACTGCATGTTGTATGTATGTGACAAATAAATCTCTTGAATCTTGAATAAAACACTGCAATGTTATGGCCCCAGTAACTGCCTCAGCAGAGGAACAAAGAATCCCAAGTTTGGACCCCCACCTGGACAACACAGAAGCAGAGCACATGGCACAACTCGAAACTCCCTGGTCCTGCCACCCTCCTGTCAAGACGGGCCATGAACCCCAGACAACGAGGCCTACAGACAGGCGAAAGGTCCAACTAGAGTTCAGCAGATGCATGACCTCCAGATCTGAGTCTCTGAAGCTCCTTATCTCGGCCGCCTCAGAACCGGCAGGGGTCCCAACATGGAGTCATGCCACGATCTCGAGGGGCTCCCCTCCAAATCCAGACGCTCAACACTTAACAGCGGACCCTTACAAGGCCGCGCTGGAGAGAGCACGTACCTGGTGATAGAAATCGTCGTCGTCGAAGATTTCCTGATCTAGGTCTTTGAGATGCGCGTTGGCCTTCAAAGCCAACTCCTGGAGGAAGAGGGAGAAGGGGAGGGGATGTGACCAAGTTTGAAGACCCACTACAGAGACAGCCAGTTCGGTGACCCCCCCCCGCCCTCCGGGATCACGTCCCACAGAAGACAAATGCACCAGGGAGCCACTCAGAACTGACATGAGGCGGGGGGGGGGGAATACCCACCAGGTTCATAATGTATTACCCAACCTGCAAATGTTGCTGTTTTAGATGCCCCATCTGCGCACTCAATCGCGAATTGGCATCAGGAAGACACATTCACCAGGGAACAAATTACATTAGGGGAGCCAGGATTAGGGTTAGGATGAATAAACCAGTGTTTTATCAGTGTGGCCATGTTCCGGTGTTGGGCTGCTGATATTTCAGGTAAACATAACCCAGATGCTACACTCCGGGGGTAGATTCAATTAAGATACAGCACTACTCTGTTAATGCAGACCGGATCTTAATACCCCTGCTCCACACAGTAATGAATGTAGCTCGCAGCATGGGGGTGCGGGGGGGCCGTAACAGCAGTGTTATGTAGACGGGGTGCAGCTGACAGCAATCCGGGGTCAGCAAACAGCGCCACTGCTGCTGGATGACGGAATATCATTTATATCAAAGCTACCACCCTGGGTCTCGTAAGAACTCGGCTCAGCCATTATTTCACAAGAACCCACGTCTTCTATCTTCTTCTATGATCTTGTCTGACTCTCCCCAAGTCCAAATCTCCGCAGAACCTGGTGCACGTGTCTCTGCTACGCAACAACACCGACTGTGGATCGGGGCTTCAGTTAAACCAGCTCCCCCCCCCCCCCGGCCCTCCTAACTCCCCCCTAGTCTTACCTCGCCCTCGGTGGTGGCCCCCCCCGGGGCGGGGCCAGGCGAGGCGGAGGACGGCCCCCCCAGCACACGGTACTCCGAGCGTTTGATCTGGGTGCGACGGATGAGCCGCTCCGGTTCGGACAGGACCTGCTCCACCTGCGTCAGGATGTTCCGGTCGAAAGCTCCGAAGCCCTGCAAGGTGGGGGGGGGGGGGGGGGGGGGGGGGGGGTACCTTGCCGGTCTTGCCCATGGTGAGGCAGGTCTTGTCGTGCCACTTCTGCAGAGTGCCGTTGCGGTATGGTTTGAAGGCAGCAAATCGCTTCGCCATGAGTTCGGGGTAGTCCGCCATTTCCAGCTTGCGCTTCGGGGGTCCCTGCCACTCTTCATCCTCCTCTCCCTCCTCAGAGCACACTTCATCACCCTCACTGCGTGAAACATACAGAGTGAAGGGAGAGTCCGCACATGCGCGCACACGCACACGCACACGCACACACACACACACACACACACACACACACACACACAAAGCCTGAAGGTGATCTAACTGTTACATTAAAACTCAGCTGGATGCATGTTCAGACAAGTACCCAAGGTGAAGGGGGGGGGGGTTACTGGGGCTCAGCGAACCTGTTTGGACCGGCTTTGCCCAACACGACAGGTCTGGTTTCTGGGTTCTGATACAGGAGGTGGTCCTGCAGTTCCAGGATGGACCTCTGGAGGGCCTTCAGAGCCTTGTGGCCTGGAAAGACAGGGAGACGAGGAATAAGAGGCATGGAGGTGCGGGGGGGCCGGGTCACAGGGCACACAGCAGCAGTACAGGGGGGAGACAGCACCAGAGCACAGAGATCATGTGATCAACTCCCTCTGGCAGAAGTGAGCAGCATCAGTACCACGGACAGCAACAGAGCAGCACGGGGAGGTAATACCACCCATGGCCAGCAGAGGGCCAGGGGGCTAGAAAGTGGGGGGGGGGGGGTGTCTCTCATCAGTAAGGAGTCAGGGGTAGGGGGAGCGGGGCACAAAGAGGCAAACCTGCGTCCAAGGGGGGGGAGAGGGGGGTGCTTCTTCTTGTTAAGCCAGGAGAGGAATTTCATTAAAATACAATTCTCCCAAACCCCAAACGTAATCTGACAGATTAATGACAGGGCATGAAATCCACAGTTTACGTTGACAAAAGTTACACGCCGAGGGAGGGACGGCGGCCCGCGGTGGATTATACTCCGCACCGCTAATGCGGGAATAATTTGATGTAGCTGCCAATTTGCTGCGCACGCACTCCCGGCAAATCCGACCTCACCCCTCACTTCCGAGCAAGTTTTATGCGCAGAGGCAGGTGGCATCGGGACGACTCCAGGCTCACGGGCCGCCATCCCGGACCACCCCCCCCATGGTGCACTAAGCCCCCCATGCACCGTAAATCACCCTGGCAGAAGTACGTCAAAAACACGGTGCCCACGTGCGGGTTGAGCTCTGATGACGACGTTGTCTTATAAACATAACGTTGAACCCAAACAAGAATAATCATGGAGGCTCATTGGGTGACACGTCAATCCTCATGTGGCCGCAGTGAGAATGCTTAAAGTATTAAGCCTTTAAGAAAGCCAGACGCTTCCCAACATCAGCTACAGGACCAAGCCATGAACCCATTTTGCTCTTCGACTTTCAAACCATCTTGCCGTTGAGTTTGGGCTCACAAAGAATGTGCTTCAATGTTTCAGGGATCATTCCGGGGGGGGGCGGAGGTGGGGACAGGAGAACCCAGTCTTAGGGTCAGACCAACACTGGGTATCTGAGCCAATGAGGTGAAGATGGTCACCCCTCCAGCAATTATCACTCCAGAAGCCGCCCGAATCGCCCCAAAAACCCGGCAAGAGGACACACATGGGCTGGAGGGGGGCAGAGCATGTACCCATCGCCACAAAAACTACACTCATAATTTTGAGTGTGTGTGTGTGTGTGGGGGGGCTTTCTCTGCATCACTCAGAGGACATTTCCAAACTATCGCTCAAAATGACAGGAGGCACAGAAGTGACCCCAGAAACAATCGGGGCCCGATGCGGGGCCCGGCGGCGGCGCCGTGCTCTCCCGCCTCCCCCCGCCAATTAATCCCACCAAACACGTCTGATTAAATCTTTTCAAGCAAATCCTTGGCTTTTTGCTTTTGTTAGCTCACTCTGTGTCAGCATCTATTAAAAACACTCCTTCACTATCCCCGGCTGAAAAAGCCACACACACACACACACACACACACACACACACACACACACACACAGGCACGCACGCAAATGCTTCCTGATCTCGCCGTCTTCAGCTTTAATCAACTGTACGCTGGTAGCTCCCCCCCCGTGTCATAATAATGTGCTGTTTGGGATTCAGCAGGCAGGCTCCACATCAATCATTCGCACATTTTTTCCCCCAACCGCAATAAATATGCAAATGAAGGGAAGTCAGTCACTGGTAATTTCAAACCCAGCTCACCAGTGTAAGGAAGGGAAGAGAAAAAAAATTATAAATAAATATATAAAATAGGGACACAAATTTATTAATTGCCGTTGGCCGAAGGAATCCTATTTCTGTGGGCATTGATTACAAAGCACTGTGAGTGATTACGGAGACGCAGGCGACCTAGGCAGCCATGGGGGGGTGGGGGGGGGGGATGTTAAAGAGGAAGGGGCCAAGCGATCAGACCTAAACAAGGGTGGGATGGCCGGTGCTGGGTGGGGGGTCCTGGGGAGGGAGCCAGGATCCTTAAGCAGTGGGCACCGCACCGCTAAATAAGACCAGCAGGAGGCGCCCACAGGGATGCCCATACACAGCTGGGCTGGTTACTATATGCCGCGTAGAGAACCAAGTCTCCGGTTATTGATCCGGAGCGACTTCGGCTGGAAGCAGGCGAGTTTCTGTGCGTACGTGTGTACATAGCTACACCAGCGAGTATGCTCTAAGGCAAGGTTTCTCAACCCAGTCCTCGGGGACCACCAGACGGTCCACGTTTTTGCTCTCTCCCAATTGGCAGGGAATTGGGAGAGAGCAAAAACATGGACCGTCTGGTGGTCCCCGAGGACCGGGTTGAGAAACCCTGCTCTAAGGTACCCCACCTAGGTCTGGGTTAAAACCGGGTACCAGTGTCCCGAAGGGGGTAAATCTGGAGTCTATGCTGCCCTACCAAGGCAAATACAGTAAGTCTGCCTTGGTTTTAACTTTCTTCCAAACTGAGCATAGCTGAACAAGAGTATTTTCTTATGAGTTGTATAAGAGAGCCTGAGAGGCCTGATTCTGGTCATAACTCAAATTTGAATCTGATAAAAAAATATGCAGTTACGGCATTTCGCCTTTCGCACGGCGGTACGGCGAGGCATAATGGACACCCGAGCTCATGAGACGGAATGTCCCAGGGACCAGCAGCGAGTCGAGAGAAAGGGGAAGGAAATGTGATCCAGGGTGAAGGTGGGACAGCAAACTGAAAAACAGGGATCACACACACATGCGCGTGCGCAAATGAGATTCAGGTGCATCCTATATGGCTACTAACCGATGCTAATTAGCATAGTAACCAGGAAAATAGTTTCAGTACTGTGTGCCAAGATAAGGGGACAGACAGAGACACACACACACACACACCAGGGCAGAGACAGTGTCTCAGGGACAAACACAGTTACCAGAAGGTACCACCGCCACAGCGGTAAGACACACTAAAGATAAAGGGGGTTATGCTTTTCAAAAACAGTTTCAAAAAAATTATAGCGATACAGTCAAGGTACAAAATGGCCTTTTTCCAAGAAATTCCATCTAACATAAATTATTGCCGTAAAGCTCTCTGGCAGCAGAGGCTAATTAATTCCGGCGCTATACACAAAAGGAAACCCCGACTGACAAATGGGAGAGCAGCTTGAAAGCTGCCAGGTCTGCAAAACATTCCCCGCTTCAATTTATAAGCAATTCTGCGGTAAATCATCAAGCAGAACTGGCGACTCCTGGAGGCAGCCATTGCAGCGGCTGGGGCCCAAGGTATTTCAGATGGGGGGGTAGGGGGGGGGGTGGCGATATTAACCCTTCAGCAGCTCAGACGCATCACATTTAAACCGGCTCTGTCCCGTAAGAGGAACAAGCCCTCAAACGCACCTGAACGCTGACCGTTCAGCGCCGACTGACAGAATCGGTATCACTGTGCAATTTCCGAAGGCGGGGGGCTTAGGCGGGTCACAGTCATCAGGGACAACGGCCCCTGGGATTCGGCACGATTAACGGGGAACCACCGGGAAAATTACCTCAGACCCCCCCCTCCGACCTTGCGTAATGATACCACCCACCCCATGGGCTAATTTTACCTACCCCCAGAAAAACGCCTGCAGTCACGGACTCCTCACGGCCTTGCAGGGGCAGAGATGAACAAGCAGTAATCAGGGTGGCCACCGTTTGTTGCTGTTTTCGCGCCCCCATAACACTGTGGGGGCATCTTACAGAGCCACTCCACAGCTAATCCACACGCAGAAAGCATCTGCATCCAGATGTGATCCAGCTACAGGCGAACTCCCACCCTGCCCCAAGGCCGCTAATTGGCATCAACACAGTGAGGGGGGGGGGGGGGGGGGGGGGGGGGGCATTACATGCAGATTTCTATCTGGGAAGAAGCTGGTCTCACTGAGTTACCGTTGCTGTTTAGCGGCTCAAATCCGGGCCTTAAGGAGAGGTCTGACCTTTGGGGGTAATTACGACACCCCGCTGATTGCTCCTATGCAAATAACACACCGTGGCGGACAGCGCCTCACAGTGGATGACCTGGGCAACTGCACCTTGAAAGGCACACATGACTTTGGCCTACTGCGAATGTCAAAACAATTTGAATGCATTAAAATTAAATAGAGAGATATGATTATTTTTTTTTAAAAACTTACAAGTTACTTTTACTATTAATTAATATTAAATAATTAACAATCATGCCGCGCTAGCTGAATGGTCGCCTTAGAGCTAAGGAGTTGGGGGGTTTGATTCCTGCCCCCTGTCTGTACGTGTGGGTTCTGCAGCTTAGAGTGGGCTGGTTCTGAGCTCACTACTCTGTTCCTGTTCGGAGTGGGATGGCATTTGATCTCGTACCGGAGAGGCAGGCACAGCGCACAGACTGATGGATCTCTCACGCACTCAGAGGGGGACGGTACCACGGCCGTTCAAACCCACGGACTCTTACGAAAGCCGCACGCTCGCTGCAAGCCCCCGCCAACGTGGCGGTCAGCTCCGCCTCCGCAAGAGAACGGCACCGGCGAACCCGGCACCATCCATCTGTCATGCTCCACCCAGTCCTGAAACTTAAATGAATTACATCCCCAGTAATTCTCTTAACTAATGCACTCCATTAAAATATTTGGCAGAGGTAAAATAAAATAAAATGAAAAGGAATTTCAGCCCAATTAATTATTCCCAGTCTTTGTTTCTAATTAAATGCTTGGCTACTTTGTGCAAGGGTGGGGGGGTGGGGTGGGGGAGGGTTCGGGGTAAAACTGCTAATATAGTGGTTAAGTTTGAGTAATGACCAAAAGTTTTTACAGGCTCAGATCCACTGGAAAGAGGGAACCTGCTGTTGTACCATTGAAGGAGGTACTGAAGATAAACAGGTTTCGGATAAACAACACACTATATAAACAATTTTAAAAGTCATGTGGCAGATTCATTGAGGGTGTCGGCAGGGTATAGCAACAAATTAACGATGACGCTCCCCTCCTGGACACAGGCATGTAAAACAAATCCTCAAGCCGGGCATCGGAAGCATTTCGAAAGATGGGGGAAATCGGACTTGATAATCTGGACACCCACCTAAACACCTGGGGGTTTTGTGTGTGTGTGCGTGTGTGTGTGTGTGCGGGCGTGTGTGTGTGTGCGGGCGTGTGTGTGTGCGGGCGTTTGTGTGTGCGGTGCGGGGAATCCACCTATCCGCCTTTCTCCCTCAT